CCGCAGCAGTTGAAATGAAGTTCAGCCTTCGAGTTTAATTCTCCCGCCAACACCAAGGTAGCAGCAGGTTACAAAGGCCTTGGAAATCTGATTTAACTCCCTTCAGCTGGTGGTTGCAAAGAGAAACTCAAAGGAGGTTCTCTTTTTTCATTGAGGATGTGAAATTTCATTTGTGGCTGACAACGCTCTTAATGCTGCCTTTTTATTGATGAATAATCTCATGGTACCTCAACTGTTTCTCAGTTTCCCTAGACAGCAATTGACCTTGTTTCAGCTATGCATCAAAATCCACTGGCAATCAAGGTGCTATTGATTTAATCCTAATGGCCAGCCACTCAGGAATTTCACCTGGAAAAGAAAAATCAATGCCACCTCATTATTATTTTTTCTGTTAAGATATTATAATGAAAAGGCATAAGAGTCTCACTAGTCTTTACCATTAAGCAGTACACTTGCAAGGCCAAGAACATTGGGTCAGGCTCTGGTAAGGTAGCCAGCCAGCTACAGATTGAAAAGACTCTAGGGTTAAACAATTTTCCTTGATTGCATGCTGCCATCCACATCTCTCTTTGCTGACCTTCCCTGAGGCGTGCAAGCTGCACTGCTATGTGAGACTCCGGAGATTATGTCTTGAGCAATGCACTAGCCCTATTATTGGAGGAGCTCTGTGTGGGAAGGATGTTCCCTATCTTGTCCTTGCCTCATTTTGGATGTTTTCTTCCCTCCCTCCCCCATCCCAAGGGGAAAGTGTCACTCAGAATCTGCAAGATTGGTTTACAAGACTGGTTTAAATGCACGGCCAGGTAGGCACTGGTCACATAGATGCTTAGATCTATGGTTGGACTGAGCAACACCACAGGCTCCCTTGTATCCTAGTAAATGAGGCATACCAGGATCCATCCTGTCGCCCATAGGCTGAATGGTCCAACATTGACTGTGTCCATGCTGCTAAACTCCTTTACCTGTCTAAATGAGGTGGTTTTCCCCTTTGTTCTTCTCAGGAGCATGCACGGCACTTACTGCAGCATGGGTATTGTCTGGGAGAGTGCATGGGCTGAACCCAGGCTATGGGGTGTGCTAACACTTTGCTGGTGTGGATGACTAGGGAGAATGCTTGAGCCTGTAATGCAGTTGTTCTCAGTTCCTTGGGATGCAAGAGACAGAGAATCACAGAATTGTTGTGGTTGGAAAAGACCTTTAAGATCATCAAGTCCAACTGTTATCCAACTCTACCATGCCCACTTCTAAACCATATCCCTGAGCACCATAACCATATCTAGACAGCTTTTGAATACACCCAAGGATGGCAATTCCACCTCTTCCCTGGGCAGCCTGTTCCAGTCTTTGATAACCCTTTCAGTGTAAAAGTTTTTCCTAATGTCTAACCTAAGCCTCCCTTGGCGCAACTTGGTGTCATTTTCTCTTGTCCTTTTGGTTGTAACTTGTAAGAAGAGACCTATGCCCACCTCTCTACAACCTCCTTTCAGGTAGTTGTAGAGGGCGATAAGGTCTCCTCTCAGCCTTCTTTTCTTCAGGCTAAACAACTCCAAGAGCTTCAGCCACTCCTTATAAGACTTATTTTCAAGACCCTTCATCAGCTTTGTTGCTCTTCTTTGGACCCTCTCCAGCACCTCAATGTCTTTCTTATACTGCAGCGAAATATCAGCCATACTGTACCAAAGCCATCATGAGCAGCACTGGTTTAAGTCTCTTGCAGAACCTTATGTGTCGGCACTCCAGAGACTTTGGAGCCAAATCACTTTTTCAAATGTCATTGAATCTCAGACTTCCTTTTAATCAGCCTTTTGTAAAAGTGGCTTGGCTCCTGCATCATGTTGACTGATGAACATTTAGGAGCAAGGGATGGTGTGGGGCAGTCCTGACTCCTGACATCACTGACATCCCAGTGACGTTCTGAAGTGCTCCTGGGTCTCAGGTCACTTAGGCAAACTAAGGCATTTTCCCTTGTGGCCTCTGCTTACTTTTCTCCCCTTGTTCCTGAAGAGTGTGAGAAAAACTGAAGGATGGTTTTAATTTCATATGGTTTTGGAGAGTACCCATGCAAATCAACTTCAAAGAGGTGGGAATGACCCTTCCTCATAATGCGTCCCTTTCAAGATGACCACCTAAAACTACATGAAGAATATGTACCCATCTGCATACCAGCTACCCGTGGTGTCACTGTGCTGGTGGAACCTCATTTGCACCCATTGAAAGCAAGCATTTTTCATGAAGACAGTACAGCTGTCAGGGTGAGAACTGTGTTTCCAGGGCCAAGTGTCATCCAAATGATAAGTGAGTGCAGAGGCAATGTGAAGGGAATCTGACAGCGCAGCTCAAAGGCATGAGATAAAGCTGCCTTAAAATGGCATTTTCCCAAGTGCTGCTCAACCCAGATAATAACTTTTTGTTGGAATGATGTGACCACATGAAGGTACAAGGCCTGACCCAAGCTTTGCTGCAGCCATTGGTGCAGTGACCACTACTGACCTCTTCATCCATTTTTCTGGGAGAGGTTCTGTTTGATTTGTGCATCTTATTCCAATTTCTACTAGATCTGTGGCGTATTTCTGCTGACCATCTCAGTTTGCTTGGACAAATGGCAGGGCTAAGAGTGCTTCTGAGGCAGTTCACAGTTTTGGATGAAGTCTCTCAGACTTTAGTGGGGTTGATGTCTGGTGTCATATGTCAGGGAGCCTTGCACTTTTTTCAATCCAGCTCAGGAGAAGTCTTCTAACAACTTATGCTTTAATTGCTGAGTTTTTCTCAGCTTCTGCCTGTAGTGATGCACTTTTATTTTGTTTCCTTGGGAGAGGCAGGAGGAAGAAAAGGAAGGTTTATGGGAAAGCTGTTGGAGACACAGCAGAACGATCTAAGCAAGTGGTGCCACTCAACCTGGGTAAAGCACCGGGTGTCCCCCAGCTGAGGTTGTGGTCCCACTCAGCCTCTGAAGCCTCCTAAATAGCCAAATGGGAACAGCTTAGCAGCTTGGAGGAGGCCTTACAGGTTGCCAGTGCTCAGTGGGCAATGGTGAATGGAAGGCTGTTGTGCTGCAAGCACCAGTCCTAAGCCAAATGTGTGACATGTTGGTCTTCCCATCCACTCTAACCTGCTGACTTCACTTGCTCCCTCCAAAAGCAAGCCCACCTCACACCAGTATGTCTGTGCTGACACAGGATGATATTACCCCGCAGGGACTGGAAAGAAGGCATGGTCCTGTGTTCATTTATCACAGGCATAGCTGCATATGGAAATGAGTTTTCCTAGGAAAGGCAGGGCACTTGCTCTCAGTCTTATCTGCTGCAAAGGGATTGAGGGCTTTGTGACTAATCCTTTGGTGAAACTGAGTCCAAGCTTATAAGCTCATCTGCAAATTGGTTTAATTTTGCCAGCAGGTTCCCCAGGTTTGGGACTGAAAGCCATGTCATGTAAATTCCATGAGATTCCACTGTGGTGTATTTTCACTTGTGTAGCTTTCCTGCTCATTCACTTAGGATGAGCAATGAACTATGTGTGATAACACAATAAAATGAGTTTTCTACGTGTTAAACCAAGTGCTGTAAATGCAAACATTTGAGCACACTTAGTTAAGCTCTCTTGTAAGTTAAACAAGTTTCTTGCTTCATTTGTAGTGTGAGAACAGAAGACCAGCTTTCACTAATGTTTTAAATACCTCTTGCAAGCCAAAAGGGAGACTGCAGATGTTTAAAGTCTGGAGTTATTTAGAGGAAATAAAATGAGACTTTTGTTAGCCATTGCTCTTTAGAGGATCTCTGATACAGAAGGGAAATAGAGAGAAAGCATCAAGTAAAAATAATATGTATATATGTGTGTTTGTGTGTGTAATTCTTGTTTTCCTCCAGGCAGCACACTGGGGACAGGTAATACTACCTTAAGAATTTGGCCGTAGAGGAGCTAATATGAAACTCTTTAAGCCAGGAACATTTCTGTGATTTCTATAGTCAGGCTCAGAAGCAGAAACCTTAGCTCATTGTAGCTGTGGCAGACACATCCATAATTCAAAATGCATTTTCCTTTGGCTGCACCTGAGCAGAACTGGTGTCCTGGTGAGAAAGTGTTTGGGCTAGAAAAAGGTACTTTTAGCCTTTTGAACTACCCCTTTGATTTCTCATGGCTTAGTGCAATCCACACAAAAGAGGGACAGGCTGGTGGTCTGGTGAGACATGGGACAGCCGTTGTTCCTGTGCAAAAGGAGACAACCAACTGCTGGGGCACAAGCAACTGTTCTTCCCTGTCTTCCAGGTGAATCTGGATGAGGATGGTCATGTTGACAAACCACATCACAGCCCTTTAATCTGTTGCCCCGGAGCAGCCTCAGAGGCACCAGAAGTAGGGTACCCAGAGCAACAAAGAGGATTTGAGATCCTGTCCAGAGGAGTTTTAATTCCTCTGTGTCAGATCAAATTCCACCTTCAAGCTGTGTTTTTTCAGTTGATTTGAAGAGCACTGCCTGCTGGTTTTTCCTTCAGCTGGGTTTTCAAAAGGTAGTAAAGCACTTGCCAAGGGTGAAGGTTTGTTGCAGAGACTGACAGCTGAACACTCCAGCTGCCTGCCCTTCATAATTGCAGATTTCTGAAAACTTAAAACAGTTCTTTTATCTTTTATCTCTGGGATTTTTTTTCCCATCTCTCTTATCAGAGCCTTTAGAGGAAAGGTCCACTGTCCCCAGAATGACAGTGGGAGGATGGAGGAAGCATTATAGCCTTTCTCTGATGGGGCCCACAGTTACCAAGACATCTTAGGAAGTCCTCTGTCACCACGCATTGCCATTTGCTCCTGTTCACCTCATGGTTTTGGGGTGAGGTTTTTTGCCTCTCCAAGTGGAGATATATTTGGAGAGATAAGGCAGGATGTGCACATATGTGGGGCTGTATTTCCTCATGACGTGATACCAGAGACAAGCTGATTTGGGTGCTTTGGTATGTAATTAATTGCCTATGTCCTCACCTTGCTATCTATTTCCTTTCCTCATCAGGAAAATGGGAGCCACTGCCCCAGTGTGACCTGCCTCTAAGGTACAACAAAATAAAGACCATCCATCACATTCCCTCAGACACCTCCCAGTATGGATGGCTTGGTTGAACAAAGCAACGTGATAATGCACAGTAAGATCGCCGAAGCTGGGAAAAGGAATGGTTTAATTAATACGAGGAACTTAGTGGCAGAGAGCCGAGATGGCCTGGTCTCTGTGTACCCAACTCCCCAGTACCAGAGTCACCGAGTGGGGAGCCTTTCCTCTCCGAGCTGCCAGGAAAACGGCAGGAACGACCCTGTGCAGCAGCTCCTGGACCCCAACATGCTGCAGCAGACAGTGGAGTCTCACTACCGGCCCAACATCATCCTCTACTCAGAGAACGTGCTGCGCTCGTGGGGTGAGAGCATCGGCTCGGAGTGCTGTGAAACCACCTTCATCGAGGACCGCTCCCCCACCAAAGACAGCCTGGAGTACCCGGACAACAAGTTCATTGATCTTTCAGCAGATGACATCAAGATTCACACCCTTTCCTATGATGTGGAGGAAGAGGAGGATTTCCAGGAGCTAGAGGTCAGATGTCATTTGGGTTATGTGGGGAAGGCATATTTGGGGTTTAGATGTACAGCCTTCAAGAGCTGATCTGCATGGATCAGCTGCTTTGGAAGCTGGTCTGCATGGTATCAGCTGTATCGTGCTCTCCTCCGGCCAGGATGATGAGCAACCGCTCATCTTTATTTGCAGGGTAAAGTCCCAACTCTGTGGATACTAATGACAGAATTCCCACTGGCCCTAATGGGGATCAGCATTTCTCTCCTTCCTCTGAGTTGTGTGGTCAGAAAGTGAAGAAGACCCATGTACTTAAATGCCGTGTAAGGTCAGGGCCAGGAGCATCTGTCCACATACATGGAGCTTGTTGTACTCAGCAGGCCAACATCATCTCTTACTTTCTCCTGACTTGAGCAGGGCATAAAGCAGATTGTTTTGCATACTGGGTCAAATATGAAACATTTCTGTCTCTGAATGAACACAAAACCAAAAGTCTTTGGTTTTCAAGCCACTATGAATCCCGTGTCTCTGAAGTAAAATATTTTTTTCTGATGGAGTGAAACACTTCATTAGATCCCAAATGCAGTATTTTCTTTTACATTCCCATGCTGCACTGATTGCTCACAGTAAAGTAAGATAAATTTTCTTCTCAAAATTGGGTGGACTATGGAAATCAACTTCTTTCTTTCTTAAATGCTGCACTTTTTACTTAATAAAAATTTTTGTGTTTTTGGCTGAAGCCAGCTGCCTAAATGCACCACAGATTTGTGTTTGCCAGTTTATGTAGAAATGTAGGGGATGCATAATGCTGCTGATCCCAAAACTTTCTCCAGTGTTGGACACAGACTCCTAACATAGCAAAGACTGTTTGGCTGTCTGGAGCAGTGGCATAGCTTCAACTCAAATGTTCAAGTTGAGATGACAAGACTATTTTCTTATGCTTTTCTGTTGCAGGAGTTTTTTCCACTGAGACGTAACAGGTCCTAAAACTTCTATTTTCACCTCCTGTAATACCAGTGTCTCACCCTGTGATCAGCACAAGGGCAACCCAACAAGAGACTAACTTCTTTTTTTTTCTCTTTTTTCTCTGTATTGATAACGTAGGAAGAGAGAGGTGTTTTTCCCAGTGTGTGCCAGTAACGCAGTATTCAATGCCTCTGCAGGGAGACAAAAAGTCTCCCTCTGAGGCATGTGAGGGTGTTAGCTCAAATCACACCCTTGTACAGCATTTCAAAATTGGCTGTGGGAAGTTTCGTTTTCTTAATCAAAACAAAATCTCTAGTTGCTGCCTTTTTGCCCTAGTTTCTCTTGTGCAGTAGTGATGCAAGTGACTGCAGCAGGCATGTAATTGCCTAATGGTGTTATTGACACATTTGGCCTGTCATTTAGGCAGCAAAAAAAAAAAGTCTCCCTCTTGTCAATCCAAATGCAGCAAGACCTTCTCTAGCTAACTATTGGAGAATAGGCTAAAAAAGCCAGGAAAATATGCAAGACAAGGACAATAATATCTTATATGAAAAATATTTTCCTTTTTCTTTATGGGATTTTTAAGGTGTCTTTGCAATGGAGGGGCCTCAATCAGGGTTGTCTTTTCAAAGTGATACTGGAGGAGCATGATCAACTTTCCATGAAAACATGTGTTTCTAGAAATCCCCCTGTAAAACTGAAGATCTGGGGAAAGAGACTTCATCTTTCCTGTCCCCAGATCTCAAAGAGAGAGAGAAAGTCTCTGGCTGTGTCTCAGCAAATTTTTGTACCATGCTGTGACTGTGTGTGCATCATTTTCCTTGGCTCCTCCTTCTTTCTGACCTATTTCTCTGGACCGTAGCCTCCTGAGGTCATACACATCCCTTCTTAAGTGGGTGTACTGCAGCTGGCACCATGGGACTCCCAGCCTCACTTAACCCTGTGGGGTGCTACTGTGCTAACAAACAGAGACATCCTGCTTTATGGATAGACATCCTGACCTACACATAGAAAGTGGTCGGGGGACGATGGCAGCCACAGAGTAAACACCCATGTGTAGTCCTCTGTTCTGTATCAAGGTTTCTTCTCCACAGGGAGAATTGAGAAAGGGAGGAGAAAATGAGGTGAGGTCTGGGGAAGGACCTGCCTGACTGGAAACGCATGCGTTGCTAGAATTGCTAGAAGACACTGCTTCTAGCCCAATGTTGGTCTCCATCGTTGTGCTACCTGGCCAACTCAGTCCAATGCTGCAATTTTCACAATCCTCCATGAACCAGACCCAAATGATCAACCTGCTGCGCTCATCACGAGGGGTCTCAGCATGGGGAGTAACTTCTGGAAGATCCAGTTTCTGCAGATTTAGCCAGTTGTGCACTAAGACAGGAGGAGAGGAGAGATGCATTTGACAGCACAGGACCAGCAAAATAGGTGACTGCTGTGTTGTGCTCTTCCCATGCGGACAGATGCTCTATCTGTGTGGCCAGATGTGGGGGGGTGTCCTGGACTTGGCTAGTAGCGAGATTCATTAGAGACATAACTTCACATGTTGAGACTCCAGCAATGGAAGAAAAGTATTTGACAGCAGTCACTGAGCAGCGGTATGAACCATGCCAGATTGCTGACTATATAAAAATTTGTCTTTCTGTCCAAATGAGATAAACAGCACCTGAATCACACAGCATGAGTATGGCCCACTAAAACATTTTGTTTGATCATTGTTTTTTCTACCAGTTACTGGCAAGAAGCAAATGCTTTTTAATATTACTAATAGACCCAAAGTGAGGTGAAAAGGGTTAGTACCAGGACTGGGAGCAGAAGTTAAAAGGGGAACAGTGAGAGAGGTTAATACAGCAGAGGTGCAAGGTTTTGCTTCCACGCTATGAGAGCACCTTGAAGGATTTTATTCTGCCATCGAGGATGCAGGGCATGTTACTGAGTATCTTGCCACATTGACTGTCATGCCACAGCTCATCAAGGGATGGGAGCTGCATAGTACATGAGCAGATCACAGCTCTGTTCTTGTAAGGGTTTTTTGTCGAAACATGTCTGCTTTGGAACATCTTTCTGGAAGAAAACTCAAAAAATATCCGCTTTTTCTTGCAAACATTAGCAAAGAGGTGAGCAGAAGAGCTCTTGTCTCTTGGGGGTAACCACCTGTTCTTCATGTGTCAGGGCAAGGCAAGTGGATTCCCAACTCAGGCATCTCAGTAAAATGCCTTCTGGAAGACAGAACAACCCTGAGGTTGCGAGTCGTTTCTCCGCCCCACATCTCTCTGGCACTGCCTATGTTATTGGAAAGTGCCCACCTAGTGGTTTTCAGGACTGGGGATTTAGTTTCTTAGAAATGCAGAAAAATCTAACTTGCCCCTTTGTAGTGACCATGCAATACTTGCAGGAGTCCCTGGACACATGTGGAAAATAGCTCATATGAACACTTCTGGTTAGTGTGTTTCTGCCAGGGTTGTGCTTTTGAAGAGAGTTCGGCTCTTGATAACCAGAAAGGTTGTTGTTTTCCTGCAGAAACCTTTGCCACAGAGAAAGTTTCTGAAAAACATCAGCTATTTTGACTTTATGCAATTTGGCTTTGGTTTGAAGAGCTGACCCAGCCAGGCTGCAGGGGTTGCTGCTCTGTTACCTGTCATCCCCTTCAGGATGGGTACTCTGAAGAACCTTGGAGATCTAGCAGAGAAGCAGGAGACATCCTAAGTAGGGGTAGGGGTCCTGCACATTGCTGCAACAATGTGGCCATGTTTAATTTTAATTTATTTTTTTTTACTAGCAGTCTTTGCCAGGTCCTGGTGTAATATTATTCAAAGTGCCTGTGAAAATCATAATTGTCTGGAGGGAAAAACATTTCTGAAACAACTTTTATTAGCATATACAACCCTGCTTTGCTCCAGCAATTACCAGGTATGAAAGCAGAGGGCTGTGTATTCTGTCAAAGCTTTAAACTTTTATTTTCGGTGCCCATCCCTGAAATCAAATGATTCCCTACTTAGGTATCTCTGAAACGCTTATAAATATCTTAAGAATTCTTTATGCCATAACTAATGGACAGACAACTTGTCAAATGTGTTGGCAGTGAAATATTACCTGAGTTGCTAGCTGAAATACCCTCCTGTTAGAGTTCATGTGTAAATGCAGTGCCACCTCTTACCCAGAAACATCATTTGTCATATTACACTCCTGCTAGTTTTCCTCCTAACCCCTGGATAGATGGCTTATTTAGAGAAACCCAAGCTATTGATGGCAGCAAATTGAATTATTCATATGTGTCGCATAAAATAATACATCAGAGCTCTCTCTTAAAACCCTTTTTTCTTTTTCCCAGCAATGTCTGAAACAGTCTCTGAAAATGAAATAAATAGAATGTTCTGGTGAGTGAAAGAAGAAAGGAAATGTAGTGCTTTCAAGCTAAACCTTCCTTCTATACTTTCCCCTACAAAATGCTGGATGCTGCTGTGAAACTCATCCCTTCGATGTGAGCATAAAAGTGTAGAGACAGAAGAAGGATCCTAAGCAATGTCCTGTTCCATGTAACCCCCCTTCTAAACATTCCCAAGCACCTCCTGGCCATGTCTCTTCTGCAATGTGGGCACGTAAAGCCCCACGATGTGTGGCTGTCTCTCAACGTGGCCAGCTTGCAGAGGCTTTGACAGTCCTGCATTGTGCTGAGAAAAGCTGAGCTGCTGTGTCCTGAGCCTTCCCTGGGAGTGGGTATCCAGGAAATATGTTTGGACACCCCCTTGGGGAGCTGAGCATGGTGGGGTTCCCCTTCCAGAGGGCTCTGCAGAATGGGTGAAGAGGCACTCTAGTGCAGACATGGGAGGCTGTAGCATGGATGTAGCGTGCTCAGAAGATCATAGGGACATG